TCAAACAAGGTAGTGGTAGCATCACCAGAGCATGATGCTGCCACTACCTAGTTTTCTTTTCTTTAGTTCCCACTCTATTACAAGCTATAATCTCTAAAGACCAAAGGCTCTCAAAGTCCAGTCAAACTGAGGTGTTAAACAGAGTAAAATTTTATAACTCCCAAATTCTTTGATCTAATTGCTTCATCAAAGCACATGATAGAAAAATTTTTTGCAGGTTTTCACACCACCGATTTCATAACCCCAGAGTGTCTTGATATAAATAAACAGCCACTAATTTGGGGAATTTATCCCTTTTTAGGCAGAATGTAAAACTGAAACAGCTGCATTTTTAGGCAAAGTCAATCTGCAGCTTTTTGTTTATCGTTTTAACAGTTCTTTGTATTTGCAGCGGGATGAAAATGGTCTTCTGTCAAAGTTCCCTACCACAAAGTGAATCTCTATGTCAGATAAATCTACTGGGTGCAAGCTGCAGTAATGAGCCACACTAAAGAAACACACTAGTTATGCACATATATAGGCAAAAAGGAGAAGATTTCATCCAAATATTTTATGGCAATGCAAGATTTCTGAAAAACTGATAACATTGTTTATCAAATACAGGGATGATGGTAATATTTCTTTTAAGACAGAAGGACATGCTTTAAAAACATGTACAAGCAGAAGGCAGAGGAAAGGAGGCCTAAAAGCATGTAGATGGACAGATGGAAAGGCCACGGGGGTGGCAAAAGATGAGCTTTAAAAACATTAGGTGGAGAGAATTACAGCGCCAGAGAACAAGGTCTTCTAGGGAGTGCTCTATGAGCTCAGCTAAAGAACAAAGGAAGAGGTTTATTGAAGCACTGAGCAGATAGCGTTTTGTTTGAGTGTCTGACACCTGCCATAAATCCCAAATCCCACAGTCTGCTAGCAGGGGCCAGGGTCAGACAAAGAAAGCACAAAGAAACAAGCCGAGAAGAGATGGGAGGTATATGATTATACTGAGAGGTAAACTGAGACGTAAGCTTTCTTTGAATCACCTAAACCAGATGGGTAGGAAATTCTTTTCCTCTGAGTTACTTTAACATGGTACGACATCCTCTTCCTGCTTAGACATGGCAACATAGGAAATGTAAACAATTTCAGGGCTGAGATACACTAATCAAATTAAAATTCCTCCTCCGGCCCTCATTACTACTGTTGCTTAACAGGGATCCTCTCATTCAGTCTGCTATTGGTCCAAACTCCAAATGACTCATTACCGGCTGTAACTATTGAAACCTGAGAAACACAAATACTTGGTGGCATTAGTCCCAAGGGGTAAATACCAGTCATTATTGCTTGCCTTCTGAATGCAGTGAGAGGTGTTTTAAATAAGTACAGTGGAATCAATTACATATTAAATTATGCATTTTTGTTCATGCAAATAGTTGAACAATTAGCAAAGGATTTCTTGAAATCAATAAAAAAATACATTGCTATGTCTTTAAGGTGATTTCTAAAAATGTTGATTTTATTTGGAAGTTTGGGATGAAATGTTTTTATGCAATGCTTTTTCAATAAGAGAGTTTTTTTTTTTTTTTTACCATTACAAGTCATTCGTATCGCATAACTTCGCCAGTCCAATTAGTGAAGGGTGTTTTGTTTTTTGTGTGTTTTGTTTTTGTTTTAATCTTGTCTGCTCTCAGTAGAAACAAAAGCTCCCTGTTCATCCAGCAGCCCAATTAGTGCATACAAACATGCCTTTTCAGATATGAGTTGTTGATCCATCAGGAATCTGCCTGCTTTAAATGAAGCCCAAAATGCATGCATATGTCAATCCGTGCATGTGTGCCAGTTTCTTTAATGTGACGTAAGATTTCATTGGCTTTAAATCTGTAGGGCAACAAGCCACAGCCAAACACAGGTCAGACAGAAACACATATTTCAACATGTTAGCTGCAGCGATACTCTCAGTGCTCTTGACGTTGGGCGGTCTTGGAGGTGCGGCGGCGTCTGACTTACACATCTTTGGGAAATCCTTCTACAATGATGGAACCCTGCGGAGCAGCAGTGATGACAGGTACACTGTGAGGAAGCAGCAAAGCCAGCAGGTATGAAGCAAGCGAACAGAGAACCAATGACATCTGTGCTTATGCTAAAGTCCTTCCGATATTGGAGCAGTTGTTGTTCCCTTTAATCATATTTCAAATTCTAGGCCTATATCATGAATGGTAGTCAGTTTTCTCCAGCTTAAGGAGGACTTAACTGAATATTTAGTAAATAGGACAGACATTTCGGGACAGATTTTTAATGCCAAACTTCAGAAAACAGCAGTGGATCAAGTAGAAGTCTTATGTACACAAACAAATTCGATAAATTAAAGCAGATGAAAATTATTGTTAATGCTTGTTCTCAATTAAAGAACTGATCATTTTGATAATATTTTACTTCCTCTCTAATAGTCCTGACCAGACAGCGACCTCATATATAAAGTAGGTTTAATGATTAATTCAAAATTTTAACTATTTTTACTTCAAGGCTTCTATTTACAATTGTTTGCACAGAATCTAAATAATTTCTATCATTTTTAATAATTCTCTACAATTTGACAGTTCTTCATTTCCTTCCTTGAATAAATTTTAATTTCATTTATATGTGTCTTTTTATCTCTCTGTTGAAGCCTTTTACCTTTAAGTATTAAACAAATTCACATCCTGAGGATGTATGTAATCTGGTTAAATGCACTTCTAATATGCCCAGATGGCAAGCGGAATCCGCAGAAGTTTGGACCTAGAGAGCTTCAAGCTACACATGACGCCAGCCACCAGCAGGATGAGCCTGCCGACCATCATCAAGCTTTACCCCCCCACTGCCAAACCGCTCCACATGCACGCCAACATGCCCCTGCGCTTCGGCAGAGATAGCAATGACGAAAGGGTCCCCAACTCCAGCCCCAACATGCCCCAGAGGTTCGGGAGGTCCTGGGAGCTGATCCAGATGTGTGGAGAGTGTCGTGAGGTCCGAGACTCCCCCAGCCCTGTGCTGCCTCAAAGATTCGGAAGAAACATCCCTTATTGGAGCCTCCTGAGGACTCTGGCCAGTGATGACTTGGTAGACACTGGTTTGCACTGGTAGGGAACTACCTCAAACGTCCTTCTTCCCCTAACACTTTACACTAACTAGAGTGGTCAATTCTGTAAATATTGTTGTTTCTGTTTTTTTCCTATTTCATTTTTTGATCCAACAGGACTCAAGATTTTGACTTTAAGACCAGCAGCTCTGAAGAAGATGTAGAGACAGAAGAGAAGGCGTTCAAAGGATAATCCAGATATAAACAGACCTCTCTTCAGTCAAAATAAGATTATTCATTTTTTAATAAATGTTTCAGATTATTAAAGCTTAGATCTACAGTATTTGGATTTAGATATTGTCTTCTTAAAGCAATGTACCTGTCAATATGTGAAACGTTCTTTACAAAGAATGAGGACATTTGTACAAAAAGTTAAAAATAAAGCTTCAAGCACCAAGAACACAAAGTGTTATGTTATTCATCTAAACTGTTGTGATGACTTTGTATTCTCTCCCGGTGTCTGCATCTCTGTTCTGATCAAAAGAGAAAAGGTTACTTCTGAAGCCCTTGACAGTGACTGATTTTTCATAACCTTTATTTAAAAATGACACAAAAAAAACATTTGGATCCTCTAAAGAACAAATCTATTTAAACTATTTTGAACTATGTGTGGATCATTATATAGGGATAGAAACTGAAAGTGCTAGCAAGCTGATGGCGAATCAGTAGTTGTTGCAACAGTTGAACACTAGAGGGATATTGTGATTAAATTCAATCATAATTCAACCATTAAGACACATATATATAGATAAGCAAATATACACAATGATCTTTATCACACATAGATATAGTTTAATAGATAATATTCATAAACATTGTTTGTGTGCGTGTTCTTGTTTTTAATACATTGTGGGGCCCCTTTTCTGGAAAAATAGCACATTGTGAGGATCGAATGATCCTTGTGGGGCCCGATCCCTGGACCCCAAGAAGGGAATAGCTATTTTGGGGTCAGGAGTCACGTCTAGCACTAAGATGTGAATTGAGTTTAGGTTGGGGTTAGAGTTGGCTATGGACCTGTAACGGTTAGGTTTAAGGTAAGGCTCATGGTTAGGCTGTAGAAATGAATGGAAGTCAATGGAGAGGCCCAGCAAAGATAGTAAGACAGGGTTGTGTGTATGTGTGTGGACAAGAGGGGGCAAAATATGAGTGTGAAACTATCACATTCAGACAACACATTTGGTTCTGATAGGAGATTTGAGAGGAATCTATGAGGGAAGAAAATTTTTATATCTATTGACAGTTGGCTTTACAAAAATATTTTAAAGGGGTTTAACTTGGAAACAGTAAGGTGGCTTTAATCAGAAGAGACATGTTGGCAAAATAAAAGCTGTCTTTAAATCTCAATAGACGGAGGGATAAGTATTTCCGGGACTGACTTAATGTGCTGTTAAAGGAAATGTGTATGATATTTTTTCCCCTTACCTGGTAAGTAACACATACTGTATAACATATCAGTTTCTTTAAGGGAGCCTCTTTTGAAAATATCTGTTTCAAAAGATTATCTCATTATAAAAAAAATTGCAGACAGACATATCAGGTAAAAACTGACACCCTATTTTTTCTCTTACGTACAGCATCACTTCTAAAGCCAAATTGCACTTAGACTTAGAACTGAAACACGACACAGATTCACTTCCATTTACCACGAGGATTATCAAACTTCTCCATTCTGTTCTTAGGTTTTCCATAAGCTTACATCAGAAATCTTGTCCTTGATAACAAATGAAACATTCAGAGTTGATGTTACTCCCGTAAATCTACTTTTTGTGCTCAAAGTTCGAGGAAAGGAGAGGCAATGACTCACTGTTCAGTAATAAGCAGTGGAACAAAACATTTCAAACATGTGAGTAACATACATGGCAAACACACCCCACCTGTATTTCAGGATGGGTGGGACCTATAATTCACAGCTTATTCAACCAGACCTAACCACACCCCCATTATGTGAGACTTAACCTCATATGCTTTAAGATTCAAGTAGTTTTTTTTATCAAAGCATCTGGAACCTTCTGGTTAGCTGGAAATCAAAAGGGAAGAAGTGTGTGAACCAGAGAAGGAAAGACGACATCTAAGAGCAGTTTTAATCACATTCCAATCTGACGGTAGGATTCGCCTCTCTTTTGCCTTTTCTGTTGCTTGCTGTGTTGTTCACTTTTAATCAGAGGCTTTTGTTTTTGTTCGTTTAATATATGAACTGAGCTAAATTTCATCTATCCACAAACAAAGGAAGTTTAAGGTGCCAAGGAGTTTGTGTAACTGGTAGTTTTCCGCTCCCCTTCAGACATTTCTTTGCCATAATGTGGCTGATTGTGTCTCCTGCTTTCCTTTCCTTTCCTCCCCTACCTAGCTGCCAGCCATGGGGGACATCCAGAAAGGGAAGAAGGTGTTTGTCCAGAAGTGCTCCCAGTGCCACAGTGTGGAGGAAGGAGGGCGCCATAAGGTGGGGCCAAATCTCTGGGGGCTGTTTGGACGGAAGACGGGGCAGGCACCAGGATACTCCTACACTCAGGCTAACATTGAAAAAGGTATGTATCCGAAATACAACAATAAAGCTGTGACCGGATAACAGACAACATGTTCATGGCTACAACTGACAAAACCTGGATGTGTTCCTTTTTTAACTTTCAGGAATGGGATGTCATCTCTAGAGTTAATATATTATATAAACAAAATAAATCTGCTTTAATGTATGCCTGTTCCTGATTACAGTCTTGAAATAAAAAATCACCACCATCTATGGAAGTCACACTTCCTTCATACCTTTTATTTTTTTCGCAATAGTGATAAATATCACTTTTATTTTTTTACAAAAAAATAGTCCACAAACTATTATGGATTATTCACGCCTGCCCTCTCTGATAACTTCAAATTAAATCTTGTTAGACAAACCCACTTAATTCTTCCTAACTATGAAATAAACTCATTCAATCTTCAGCATACATTTGGCTGTTCTTTAGGCGCTTTATTTCAAAGTAGTTCAAAGACTACAACATAAAGCTCAGGTTTAAAAATCTAAGAGTGCATCTCCAGCTGTTGTCTAGAAATTGAAAAGGGTACAAAGGAAAACATTACAAACTACCGAGACATGATCGTCCATAGAACTGAAAGTTTTGGAGCATCGATCAAGAAGGCAGCAAAAACAGGCCCATGGTAACTTTGGGGGAGCTGCTCCACAAGTTTAGGAAGAACGATTTGCTAAAAAGATCAGCTAATGCTAATGCACTCTATAAATATTTGTCTCATTTTTGCATATAAAATGAGTCATGCCTCACAAAGCTGGCAGAAATAATTGCAGATAAGAAAATTTTTAGTTGCAATGTGGCAAAATGTGAAAATACTTAATAGGGTATAAATACTTCAGCAAGTAATAGACTCTACATTTCAGATGTAGCCACTTGAATTGAACTTTATTGATCTCACATTGGAGAAATTTATGTCTGCATTTAACCCATCCCCTTGGGGAGCAGTGGGCTGCCATTGTTCGGCACTCAGGGAGCAGTGTGGGATTAAGGGTCTTGCTCAGAGACCCAGAGTGACAGTCTGTTGGAGTGGGGCTCAAACTCAGAATCTCAGGATTCCAAGCTCTATGCCCTAACCAATAGGTCGCCACTCCCCCCATTACGCTTTTTAATTATTTTTAATGCTTTTTTGTCTCATATGTCTACATGCAAACAAATTGACCATGCTGGCATAAACAACTTTCCCTTCAACAAGAATATCTGGTTTTTTTTCACTCTGCCATTAAAAGGAGCATGTTTCCTGTACGTAAAGTGTGAACAGCATGTCTGATCAAGCAGACGACAGTAGGAATTTTCCTCTCTGACTCTCTTGGCTACTGTATGTCCTAAAACCATAGAAATAAATCCATCTCACTGACAGACATACACGAGCAGTTCTTCCTGAAAACATCTATAACCCATGAGTGTTTTAATTGTTCTAATTTTGTGTTGTTTTTTTTTTTGCTTGGTTTGTAGGTATCATATGGAGTGAGGACACTTTGAATGTCTACCTTGAAAACCCAAAGAAGTACATTCCAGGTACCAAGATGATCTTCGCTGGCATCAGAAAGAAAAAGGAAAGAGCAGATCTTATTGCCTACTTAAAGGATTCAACCTCTTGATGTACTGATTCTTTGGACTGTACACCAAAAACTACACTGACGGGGATTAGAACAAGCTTTTATGAGTTTGACATGTGTTTTTCTTTTATTTTAGGGTTCTTATTTTTGTTGAGGTCCGAAAAACTAACTCATTTTCGCATCCAAAATGCACTCTGTGCAGACTGCTGTTTACTACTTGGACTTTGTGGTATTACCCACTCTATGCACATAGAAATACTTTTGCTACCCTATTGTTTATTTAATTGTGTATATTTATTTTTTTCTGTCTGTGAACTCTAACTCATTTCATCTCACTAGACAGGCTTTTTTTCAGGATTGTTTTTATTTTCCTTCTGTTGTTTGATTTATTTCAGCCCATTATTAAATGGGAACGCATTTATTCAACTCAACTCATTATCTTTTGAGAGCAAAAAGTTTGAATAACATTAAGCTCTGTGACTTTATTCAATTTCTTTAAGGGATGTTTTATAAAGTGGGATTTGCTAAATAAAATTTCTTTGTGTCGTATCTGGTATTCATTTTTAATATCTTCAGGGGATTTTGAATTAAATTAGCTTTAATTGTTCTGTGGAAAGGCCTTTTAAATTCCATTAACAGTATAAAAAGGACAACACCTTCTAGTGGTTTCTTCCTAATTTACATAGATTTTCACACAAGGTTAAAAAGGTCAACCGTTCCTATTTCCCAAACATTATTTAGAATACACTTTAAATAAGTGTCACCTCCTTCCAGTCTTTACCATAACTGATCACTAGAGGGAGACAAAATATTAACAGGATAGTTTTAGGAGCATTGATTTTGGGGGGGGGATAAGTCTAACTTGATCAAAATGCTAGGAGAGAGAAAATGAGAAAAAAAAAATGCATTTTAGAAAAAAGGAGAAGTATTCAGAGATTTCATAGCATGTTTTACATATACTTTTTTGTGTTGATAGTGATTGATCTGAAAAGCATTAATGCACAACACATGTCATCTTAAGGCCCTTTACAGTGACAATTTAACCAGATCATACAGTCAGACTCATTGACTCTTCAGCATTCCCTCATACCAAGCATGCTTGTAGCAACACTGGAGAGGAAAACTCCCTTTTAAGATTTAAGTAACTTGCCTTTTTACATATCCAAAAGGGAAAAGCATACAGTATAACTAATGAACTGTAAGCTGAAATTACAGGTGTGATACATCATTTGAAAGCTAACATCTTCTAGTTTTTGAAAATATAAACCGTGTGACTAAGACACAGCCTAGACTGCCTGAGTTCAAACGTGACACAAGTTTTTTTTTTTTTTTTCTTTTGGAAAATAATAGGTCTTTTTTGAATAGCAGTAACAAAGACATGCTTTAGAATAGGCATGCATCATTATTTTACATTTATTCTGCATTATGTCAACAACAACTGCAGAGAATTTCAGTCTTCTAGGTATAACAGTTCTAGAGATATGGGACTCTTAAAGTCATACAGAAGTCTTATTTAAATGTAAAATCCTTCTGGCTTAAACATGTATATAAGTATATAAATTATCAGAACATTTCTATTTCTAAAAGAATCCTGTCTTAAAATCTGTGTGTGTGTGTGGGGGGGGGGTTTCGTTATCTTATGCAGACTACTTAGTTATACGTCAGCTTGTACACCTAAATTTGGCCAGTCATATATCAAAGATCATCTGTCAATCAAATTTTTTCAGTCATAGCAACTAGATTCATATGTCACAGCTAATATACACAACGGTTGAAATAAAAAATAAGAATAATTTACCCTACCATTGAGTTACGTCCCAGTGTTCACGGGGATGGATGTCTGTGTCTTCGGCAGGCGTAGAGCTGACAGGCTTAGATGAAGACAACAGCTTTGCCAACTCTGAAAGTTCCACTAGACAAAAACAGTCCAAAGATTCTATAGCTACCTCAGATGCTGCCTCACCTTCCAGAGAACAAATGATATTCAGAGTGGTGCCAATTAACTTATTTTTAATAGAATAAATCTTTTTGTAAAGAATCCCAATAAATCATATGGCTTGTGGGATGGACGGTTCAACAGAGCTATGGCTCTGGGTGAGTTGGGCAACTGTATTGAAAAGATATCTAGGATCATTCTTATTCTCCTTATTAATGAGGAGAAATATGCTGTTCTTGCTTTATGAAGGGTCATGTTATACAAAAGTAAACTGTTTTTGCAGACTAGATAGGATTCCTTTAGGAATGTAGAGGGCCATTTTCTCTCCAATTTCCTAGCGTTTTGCTTCAAAGTGTGCAGCTCTGTATTAAACCAGGGAGTCAGCTTTCTTTTTTTTTTTTTTTACAGTTTTTCTACACACATAAATGCTTTCTCTTTTGCTGATAGTCTAAGGCTTTGTTTCTGAATTGCTTTTAGATTTGTTGGATGTCAAAATTTTCAAAAACTGCTGACTCACCATGATGCTAATTTTTCTTTCTACATCTGATGGTTTTCAAAGAACATGACTCAAATTGCCTGCTTGTGGATATTTCAGAAAGTAGTCTACAGGTTCAACTGCTAATTGAGAATCATGTTTACCCTTCTCTTACAGTATTTGTTGTCTGCATTTCACTTTTTTTTTTTTACTCACTTATAGTATTCATCATATGTTTATTTATTTTGCATGAATAGAATGTGTTAGCCTTTCCTAAGCTGAATTGTGGATCTATTTTATCATGTAGGGTTGAGTTTTTCTAGACTAGATCTTTGTGTGGGGATGATTTGTCTTATTTATGGACTTGCTCTTCCCTTTCAGTTTAGGAAACAAAGCTTAACCAAACCTGCTGTCTAGACAGACGTTTTTTCAGAAGTAACTGAGATTATAAAAGAAAACAGGAAGAGGTCACAGAACTATATTTAAGTGTTTTTTTGTTGTTGTTGTTGTTTTTTTTGTATTATCCACTGTTAAGCCTCCTTTTTACATCATACTCTTGAATTTGATCTTTAATGGGAATATGTTAAAAATATTTAATTTAACCACATCTTTTTTTGTAGAAGAGAATTGTTTCCATAGCATCGTTGTTTTGTATTTCCACATACAGAACCATCCTTCTTATTCAAAATGCATGAGAAGAATTCAGCTTCGTTTTTCTATTGTAGTGATTAAGTGAAAATGCTTAAAATTGACAATCAGTTCAAATACAGTTATTTTGAGGATTATGTGCACATGTAAACAAAGAAAGGCTTTTGTCATAGTCAGAGAAGAAAGTAAGGTCTGCATTTTTCCTGATAGGTACGCAATGACTATGAGAGCCAAACTGAGAATGAAATCCAGGCAATCGCATTATAAGATTTCAGGTGTTGTTGGAATACATTTGTTAATTAACCAAAATTCTACTCAATAATTTGTAATTTAATTTGCTTTATTTGCTGGTATTTTAACCCAGTTCCATCATGATGAACACTTTTAGCTCAGTGATTTTTGGGACCATCACTGGAAAACACACACTTTCAACTTCCTCCACAGATTGTTTATAGGGTCCACTACAGGACCTTGAAATGTTTTGTTTTTTTATGGAGCACCTTCTTCATTGCCAAAACTGTTTGAAATCATTGTCAGGCTGGAACACCAAGCCATCTTCAGTGCCCTGATGAAAGGTTTTGGTTTGAGATACCAATCAATGGTTTTGAATATCTTCCATTTTCTTCCAGTTTTTCCCACAGTGTATTTATTCACACCAACCTGCTTGCTTACTGTAGATGCACCCTTTCAAACCTCGTGCAGCTCTTTGGTCTTAGCTGTGGTTAGGTGCTGTTAAAACAGGTAATGAGTGGAAGACAGAGAAACTCTTTGAGGATATATAAAAACCAGACATCTTGTTTATTTGTGGTTGAACAAATGCTTATTTTCCTTAATAATTTACAAATAAGTTCTTTAAAAATCCTACAATATGATTTACTTGACTTATTTTCTCATGTTGTCTTTCATTGTTAAAGTGTATCTCATAACTTTGAAATATATAAATATTTTTATGTAATTTTAGAAATAATATATTCATGAACTTCCAGTTCCTTTAAATGACCTCATATAGACATTTCATAAGGGCTTTTCTAATCTGTTCACTTATTTCCTCAATTTTTCTCTAAAACAGATGATTTATTGTTCTAAAATGGTCAGCAGAGGGCGCCATTGTAGCAATAAAACACATTTAATCCGGCAGCAAATCGCGCCAGGCCAGTGCGCAGGATGTCAGATCCATCCCAGTGGATTTAAAGTCGATCCGGATGATCGGCAGGATCGAGTGGACCTGTGGGACCGAGCTGCCAGCTGCTCTGTGGTTTCCACTGGGTGATCACTGGAGGAGGGGGGGCAAAGCATAAAAAAAAAAAAATCGGAATTTAAGAATTGTGGTATTGACCAGAGAGGAAAGGAGGAAGAGGTCTGCAAGGAGGATCCAATTGATCAATCTTCCAGATTACGCACGGTGAATGTTGGCCGGTGTCTGGGTCTGCACAGGAGCGACACAATCAGATACAATCAGAAGGTAGGAGAGAAGCTTTACTCATTCCAATTCATTCCCTGGATGTGTTCCGTTTATACAGAGTATGATCATTTAGATTAACATCAATTGATGGTCTTCCACGCAAATCCCATCCCTCAATAACCTGCACAGATCCACTAGGATGAAATAGGAGCGCACTTTGACACTGTGTGAATGAACCCGTGGCCAAATTACTACAGTTGACATGCCTTGTGTGTGTGTGTGTGTTACTATAAGAGTATGTGAGTGAGATCCCCCCACCCCATCCCCAGTCTAATTCTGGCACAGTGGGAGTGTGTGCACGGCTGGAATTACAGCGGTTGCTGCATCTGCTGCAGAGAGGGGCTTCAACAGGTTTATAGAGCAGAGACAGCCTATAGAGGGTGAGGGGGTTAGTGGGGGCCCTGAGGCGTTGAGAGCCTCTGAGGGGAGGAATAGGAAAAGTGACAGCTGCCAGGGGACTGCAGATTTAGCTTGTTGTGTTGTGCTCCTTTCAGGAACAGTAACCAAGCAGCATGGAGCTGATGAAAATTGTGTTATCCCTTCCCATTCTTCTCTCTCCTGCATGGACCATATCCCGTCACTCCTACCTGGACAGCATCCTCCCCCCTCATCCAGGTAAGGTATCAGCAGCAGCCACATACTGTAATCTTAAAGAATTTCACATGAGTGTTTCTATTCAGCAAAGCAGAGGAGCCTCCTCCCAGCCTTCAGGTTCTTGGATGAGGCATTGAGGTTTGATCCCTGTTGTCTTATGTCACCTCCTCCACCTCCGCTATTTCCTCCTCCCCCTCGGCTTTGGAAGAGAGGCACACCTGTAAGTTTCCATGCAGCAAGCGGCCTGTACTTGCACTTCCACCATGGGCCATTTACTGAAAACTTTTCTGTTTTCTTCCTCTGTTCATGTGAAGGGTGAAATGGATGAAACGCTAAGCTTATTGCAAACAAACGTTTTTGGAGGCGAAGTGTTGGATAAGAAACAGCCCGTCACTCCAACATGTTCACCAGGGCCTCCTGGTCCTCCAGGACCACAAGGTCATCCGGTAAGGAATCACTTCATATTACATGTATTAATATCTGTAGAACTCATATCTGTAAAGAGAATGCAGTCCCATAGCATGATGCTTCCACCACCATGTCTTATCACTATGGTGATACATTCAGCACGATGTGCAGTGTTGGTTTCCCACCACACATGTTGGCCAACATCCATTTGGGTCCCAGGTGACCCAAACACTTTGATCCACACATGCAGTTTCAGTGGTTTACCATAATTTTAACCCTAATCTTTCAGGTGTCAGAATAGCGACTGGAGTCTATTATGGGATTTTATTGGAGGGGAAGCTTTTCTTCAGCAACTAACCAATACTTGTGGTTCTAGTCAGGAAAAATATGAAAAAGGGTCAAAGGGTGTAAATAGTTTTGCAAAGCTATGTATATTAGCCTTTTAGTCTGATTAAATCATGTTCTGTTGGATGGCTGCAGACATTTTAGGCAGTAGCTGGGAATATATTGTTAAGCAGGTAAAGACAGAAAGAAATTCAGATGACCTTGTTAGCATTGATCTTGCTGCAAATGCATTGCGTTCAATACAGGTCATAGCAGCAGGATAAAAATGCTTGTGTCATTTTTCAGGGTGAAATTGGATTGCTGGGTTTAAGGGGGCCAAAAGGGAGAAAGGTGTGTGCTTTTTGAGAATTAATGTCCCTAATTCATTTATCTGCTAAAGGAATTTGTCCTTGCATTCACAAGTGCTCTAACATTCATCTGTTCTCCTTCCATTTTTTTTTTTCAAGGGAGACATTGGACGTCCAGGGCAAAGGGTGGGCATCTTCTCTCCTACATATGTCCTATCTCCAGTGTTCCTCTATACCCCTCTATACCTGTAATGTCTCTTCCAAGTTTTTTTTCTCTATGATCTGAGTTTTTATCAATACTCTCTGAATTCTCCTTTTGTTGCTAAATGGGTCATGCAACATTAGTCTTAGTGGTAAAGCTTGATTTCCCATTATCCTAGTGCTGCTCGTTTGCTCTTTCTCCTCAGCTTTCCTTGGCCTCGTCCCATTCGCCTTCAGGACTAAACCCAAGTCTTGCTGATGAAGCCCCTCCATCAGGGCTCTGCTTGTGCATTTTAATCTCCCTGAGTGCTTTTGCTCCTCATGATAAATCACACAGTGCCTCTGGATGCTGCAGCTTTAATCACAGACTGCTGAATAAAAGCACGGCTGCAGCTTTGGAATGTAGTTCAGGTGTAAAGATGATATGAGGATGCTTCAGAGGCCAGTTTTAGTGTTTGCCATATGATGCTGCCACAGTGTGTTACAGTATGCTGGATGTAGGCATTTTGGATGTAATACTGAAAGTAGTGATGTGGAAAAAAATAAGGGGTATGAATACCTATATAAGGAAATGTAGTTTTTATCTTTATTGATTCCCAGGAAAGTATCATTTACATAGACATAGGCCTCTACTTCACAGGGTTAACTCCAACATTTAAAATAATATGAACAAGCAGTGATTTCACTTCCCTGAGAAGGATTATAATGAAGAAATAAAGAAATAAAAAGAGAACAAGAACAAAAAACTAAAAAGGAATCAACAATGGAAAAAATTTAATTAATTCAATTTAACATATTAAGAGAGTGGATTGTTGAGATTTAATTAAGTTTGGTCTCTAAAATTGAAATCAGATCTTTTAGGTTTTACATAGTCTACCCAAATCTGCCACCACTGATATAATTTTTCAGTCTCGTGATAAAGAGGCTGTTTTTTTTTTTTTTTATATATATATATATATATGTGTTGAATGTTATGAAGATCCAGTCATCTAAAGTTAGTTTGTCCTGTGATAACAATTTTTTTGGTAATGTTTTTTTACTTGCTGTTAATAAAATAGTCATTAAATATTTATTTCTTTTTGAGGCTTCTTGAGGAATTATAGCAAAATACATAAGCTTGATCTCCAAAGGAACATTTTGTTTGAAAATATCTTTTAATGCATTATTTATCACTTTCCAGTAATCTTTTATACTTGGGCAGTTCCAGAAGACATGATAATGTTTTAAGCTTTGATTTCTACATCTCCTCCAACATGTGGGGGGATTTCTATTGTAGTGGCATTTTTGAGCAGATGTGATATAAAATCTAACCAGATCCAAATTCTTGCCATTGTAGATGGTATCTCCACATTATTGCCCATTCCTCCTCTGTTATTGTCAAATTGCCGTCTCTTTCCCATCTTGCTTTGATATGTATGTTTGAATTTTTTAGATCAATTAGGTTTTTATAGATAAGTGAAACAATTTTCCCCTTAATTTTTGATTTATAGGCATTAATAAAAAAAAATCATTAGGTTTCTATTTTTGTCAGTAATTGGCCAAATTTTTAAATCAACAAAATTTCTTATTTGTAAATATCGGTAAAAATCCTATTTGAGTATTTTCTCTTGAGTGTTTCAAAATCATTTCAGATTTTTTTGTTGTCCATAATTGTGCACACAGCAGTGATTCCTTTGGATGTCCAGTGCTTAAACCTGGTGTCCAGTTTATTTGGTGGGAAGTCTGGGTGGTATGCATTTTATGATTGCAAGGTCATTCTCTGTTATATGTTTTTTTCAAAAAAGTTTGGGTATGAGGATCCAGAAAATGTATTAGGTTTTTTTTTTTTTTTTTTATGGCACCAACATGTGTTTTTCTGCAGGGCCGCCCTGGCGCTCCAGGTTCTCCAGGGAAACCAGGACTTCCAGGATTTCCTGGTCCCCAAGGGCCCAAAGTAAGTGTCATGACCTCTCCTCCAGGTAGTATACCCCAAAATCTTTGCCATACATAGCTTTATCTTGGAAGTCATTGATTATTATTTCTTATAAGGGAGAAAAGGGAGAGCCAGGACTCATGGGTTTACCAGGGCTGCGAGGTCCACCAGGAACAAAGGTAGTTTCTGATCTTTTCATCAATGAAACAGTCAAACACTAAATGTAGACCATAACTTTCCTGCTTTTCCTTTCAGGGTTTACCTGGTTACAAAGGTGACAAGGTAATGTTTTTCTGCCAAACTGTATTTGTTTTCATAAGAAGTTGAGCTGTGTAAAGAAAGGATAAAATCTCACCACACAAGGGATTCCTAGAGCTATCAAACCTACTTATTTGCATTTATGTACTAAAATAGAATCAGTGTTATTTTCTAAAACCAGTAATTTTCGTATGAGTCTCAAACTAATATTTGTTTGGAGGAATTGTTTCTCTATGTCAATCAACCCAACTGCTTACTTCATAGAAAGGAACGTTTTTAATCTCAAAATAACATCATTTACTTTTCCGTTAAAAGCTGCTTAATGATATCAGAACTAGAAATTTAAAAAGTCAAAGAATTTGAAATCTCACTCATGGATTTCAGTGATTAATTACGTATATTTTTGTGTAATTCTTTTAACAAGGGAGACCGTGGGGACCGTGGCCCAGTGGGACCAAAAGGAGATAAGGTTTGTTTCTTTAAATAGCAGTTTCTGAAATCATGTAGAAAGTTATTTCCAATTCAAAGTTGGGTTTGAATGTGTGATTCACAATGGTTTATTGAAAATGCTATTATAAAATGTGTTTTGTTTTGATTACAAAATTTTATTTTAATGTATTTTTTTTTCTGCTCGCCTTTGAATCATTTTCCTTTTTTCAGGGTTCAATTGGTTTGCCAGGGATGCTTGGACAGAAGGTAAAGGATAAACGCTTAAAAAGATTATAGCTAGATTTCAATGCTGTTTCAGGGTTCCTATACAGTCTAAAAAGTTGGAATGTGATTCCAGTATTTTGCAGGTCTGCATAAGAATAGAAAGAGTCAATAAGAAGTTGGAAAAATATTCATATCCAGTTGTCCAAATGATGTTTCCCTCCACAGTTTCTGTCCTTTTATTTTATTTGAGGACTTATTTCTTTCTGTGGTTTTGTAATTCCCTTTTTTACCAGGGATTAGACATCAATATCTGTCAAATTATTAGTAAACCTCTGTATTGTAAAAAAATTTTTTAAAAAACAATCCACTGGACTTGGTTTCCAAGTTTGAAGACGTTTGCTTCCCATCCAGGAAGCTTTTTAAATTCAAAATGTCAGGAATAGCGTTGAGTTCGTGGTTTTATACAGTAGCCCAACAAAGGCTTGTTTTTGTTTTGAAAACATGCAAACTGGAACAGGGGTCCACCCATTTGGGATGGGGGTTGTTTTGCTTCTTTTTGTTAGACTGCAATACCTCATACCCATCTAAGTGTCTAAGTGTCTTTTTCTATAAAAAATGTGGCAGAAATCTGAAAGCTTTTCCCTTCTCTTAGGGTGAGGTGGGCCCAAAGGGAGAGCCTGGTGTTTCAGGGAAGAGAGGACCAGCTGGAAGACCAGGGAAAAGAGGCAAACAGGTAAACAGAAGTTTTAGTGTTTGTGTGGAGCGGACATTGATTGGACTTAAAAGAACAATAAAAATAAATCTATACGAAAATTATTCTGTGTGCGTTTCTCTGTTGCTTCTTTTGCAGGGTATGAAGGGCCATTCAGGAGCCCCTGGAGTCATGGGGCCCCCAGGTCCTCAAGGTCCCAATGGTCTCCCTGGGCCCCCTGGACCTCCAGCCTCAGGTGTTGAAACCAGTTCATGCACAGACCTTTGTTTCCATGTCTGCCGTAACATATTATATCCCCTGTGTGCTTAATCCATCCTCATCTCTTCCCAGGTCTCTATCTGGTGGGGGAGAAAGGGGAGAAGGGCCTGCCAGGACCACCAGGTCGCTGCAACTGTGATTCCGCAGTCGGAACAAATAATGCCCCCTTCGGCAACTACTACACACAGCGACGTACCGGCAATAAACTCACTGCAGTAAGATTTTAGATGCTGACGATGCAAACTGAACTTACCTGTATCCCTTGTATGCTCACAACCTTTCTGAGAGTCCTCTGTGCTCTTTATGTAGATATTTGTGGTGAACAATGAAGAGGAGATGGGCCGCCTTCATGTAGAAAATGCAATTGTGTTAAGAAAAGATAAGAGGATGCTATATTTTAAGGATAAAGATGGCTGGAGTCCAATACAGGTAATTACATTCAATGTATATCAGCATAGTGTGCAGTGCCACACTATGTTTGTCTCCAACTATCTTCCCACCAACTGACCAGTTCACCTGAGCCTGCAGAGGAAAAATGTCCCACAGCAAGATGCTGCCAACACCATGTTTTAGCATAGGGATTAGGTTTTTAGGCTAATATCTAGTGATGTTTAAGATGAGCCAAAGCTTTGAAGCATGTGTCAGGTAGAGTAGGGGGCGTTTCTGCGAAATGCATATTGAGGCTTGCTTCATTTAGGGACCAAAATCTGTGACGTCTGAAACTTCACTACAGCCGTACCACTCGACCGCTTTGGGAAGTGGTTCAGCTTGCCCACGAACTTCGACATGCTTCTGAACAGCCTCAGGGTTCAGTCAAGATGTGGGACTTTGTAGGAGAGTTGAGGTCAATTGGATAGAGTTTGGATATAATCTAAGAATAGATTGGCTGGAAAAACAACCACTCCAGTTAGTTAAACAATTTTCGTTAGATTAAACAATATAATCACCAGAATTTGACCAAGCTACTGGTTTCAGTTGTATGATTAGTATTATTGCTTTCATTATTGCAAATGGCATCTGCTGTAAGTCTTTTCCTTTCAGTCCAAGTCATGTTGGTTCAAGACCTGGATTAGTTTCTGAAAGTTGCTACGCTTGACCAGTATTTTGGCCAATGTGACCAATTTGTATTGGTTTGCCCTTTTACTAATATAGATTGGGTAAAAAAAAAAAAAATACAAAATTAGATTAGTTGGTTTCAACAAAAGATTGGTTGGACACATAACTTCCAACCAGATTAAAACCAAAAACTTTAGAAAAACTATTCTTTTTTAATCAAAATGACTAACACCTTTCATGTTGCCCATCACTGCCCAATATGCACAAGCACTTTCAGTGTCTACCTGAGCTTATGTCACTAAAAGGACAGAAAACAGTGTACCTTAAAAGATTTTTCTGATTTTACACACAAAACACCTACAAAATATTTTATTTTACAGAACAATTAGGAACAATTTCAAAGGAATTTAAATGGGAAAAAAACAAGAAAAACAATTGCAAAAGAAAAATCACAAATTATAATACCAACTGTAGTCATGATTTCCACCAATAGGTGGCGACATGTTCACCTTAAGCTCCTTGAACTCTGGGGATTGTTGAAGCCCAAATGGTTCAATGCTTCATGAGGCTCCATCTCACCATCACCTTAGTTTAGTTTTGTCTTCAATTTAATGTTTTGTTTCAATAACTCAGTGCAATATTCGATAACTCAATATTTATTTATTGATGTTACCTTTTCAATAACTCAGTGCAATATATATGTATATATATATATGCTTTACCCTGTATATAGCTAGCTCTTACTCATAGAAAACATATTTATTGTGCAGGAATAAGGTCTTAGCTCTGTTATGCTGGTAGCCAAGTAATCGAAATTTTGTTGTCAAGATTCACCTTGTGTTTTTCTTTGTGCAATAACAATAAAGGAAGTCTAAGTCTAAAGGGAGCAAAATACAAATTCATCACATCCTTATTTGTGAAAATGTCTGAAACCAACATTTACTTTTCCTTCTGCTTCAAAGAAATGTAATACTGTTTTCTATTGGTCTTGCACCTAATATTTTAATAAAATACATAAAATGTTGTGGATGCAACTTTCTAAAAGTTGTAAAACTACCGGTATGAGGAGTTGTATGTTTTCAAAAACACTATACATTCAATTATGTGTAAAAAATATATATATTTTCAGCCGTTTCAGCAATTCCAGTCTACCGAGACCATCCCAGAGAGAGTTGGTGTATGTGGGGATGGGAAGGTTCAGGTCCAGCATGGGGAGGAGTGCGATGATGGGAACCAGATCGTCACTGATGCTTGTCTCAGTGAGTTAAATGCATCAGCTTTTTTCTTGTTCACAAACCTATTTATTTCTGTTTTTTATGAATACAATGCAAAATAAATCTCTTACTATAGAGCAGCCTAGGCTTTGCTGTTGATAGATTAGAAACATGTATCAAAGCAAAACCACAGCATGTCATTGGATGCTGAGCTCATGTGGCACAGTCTACTCTCTAAAAGATCTCCTTTGATCTTTTATTAATCCCTGACCCTTCTATTTTCCTGCCAACCCCTCACTATGCTTCTGCTTCTATCCAATTAAATTAGAAGGAAAATGCTGTGCTGGCATCACTGAAGGCTGGTTAGTGTGCCAAATAAATGAGTAACATCCTCTTTCTCTCACTCTGTTGCTTTCTCACACCCCCTGCAGACTGTAAGTGGGCTTACTGTGGAGATGGATACCGACATGAGGGAATAGAAGAGTGTGATGGAAAGGATTTTGGTTATCAGACCTGCAAATCCTATCTTCCTGGGTATGTTAACTGATTATTTAGCAACACACCAATGTGTGTTTTTTTATATGTGGTCATTTATCAGTTAATCTTTTTTTTTATGGGTATCAATTTTTTGTATTTTGATTTTCCCATTCTACAATCATGAATTGAAGGAAAAAAAGACACCTATACTGTAGGGATCTTTTTTTTTTTTTTTTTTTTGGTTTAGTTTGTAAGGACATAGAGGCTATTTAAAGTTAGTGGCATTATGAATAGAGCTAGATAAGGAGCAGGTTGAGAAATAATTATAATAAAAGATCTAATCAGCTAAGCTTGTATATATTTACAGTCAGAGCAATAATTTAAGTTTAAAGCAGCTGGAACTTTGACAAAAAAGGCTGGACAAAGACCAAAAAGTAATATGAGGATAGAAGTAAAAATATCTTTATACATCACCAATAGAGAAGTGTGAGATAATGATAATTAATTCGAATAAAAAACTACATAAAACATATAACTAAGCTAAAATGCAAAAGTGGAAAAATGTTTTCTATATTTTGAGCAGAACTTTGTGTTTTTTAAGCTGTTATCTCCCTGCTTTACATGTGCGTTGCTTTAAACAGGAAATTTGATTTGCAACTCTTTTCTGTGCTTCTGCAGGTCCTTTGGGCAGCTTCAGTGCACTGAGTCGTGCTTCATTGATTCTACTGGCTGCAAGTACTTCACCTGAATACAGAAGGCCTCTCAGAACGCAAAAAATTGTTATTCAGATTTTATCTGAAGTATCAAAACTTTGAAAAAAAGGGGTGCACTGAAAGACTGCACTGAAGCAAAGTTGTGTCTGCTCTAAGCCATGAGACGTCATGGAAGTTAGTGTTTTTGTTTTTTTACATCCCCTGCAGTTCCCTCTCCTGTCCCACTGAGGTTTAGTCCTGAACGTGCCTCAGAGAACAGCTCCCTTGGCTGCAGCACTGTTAGAGAAACATCAGAAAAGGTGGAAACCTTTGAACGATGCAATGACTGGATCATGTTAAATACACTGTTTAAGACTTGCAGACTGTTAATGCAGAAATAAGCTATGTGCTCCTTCATACAACACTTTTTAAAAAAATGTTGCAATGTATTTAAATTATGAAAACCCAAGGCATCTGATGAGGGACCTTACTCCTGTGCAATGTATGACAAAATATGTATTAATGATGCGCAATGTTGGTTTTGCATGCATATATGTATATAAGTGCACAATAGACTGCTTTATCTGTTAAATGCTGTCACCAAAAAATATCCCTCTAGCAAAGAAGTTGCAAATAATCCGACAGAAAACATGAATGTCTTACTGCAAAAAAAATGCAAATAACATGTGGTTATTGAAGCAGCATGAGGTATGAATGCATAAGTGTATATTTAATAAAGTAATATCAGTAAAAAGTTGGTCTTCATATGAAAATCAGATGAAGGGGTGTGGGTGGGGCTTGTGCAGGAAAGCAGCCGATCAAGGAAAAGAGTCTTGCAGCTTGTATACTAAATTATCTTTTAAATATCCATGAAACCCTTGTTATCCATGAAAGAGTTTCTTGTAAATTAGTTTCTTTTACCTGGGTCCTATTTCACAAAAGTTGAATAAAAAAATTCCAGCATAAGAGATAAAGCAGAACTCGACCTCTAGCCTGATCAGTGCATCCTGGCTCCATTCGTTCCAAAGGCCAAGCCAAGCTCCACAGGTGCAGCTGCCTCAAGCCAGGTGTGAGTAATCAAGCCAAGGGTCTGCAGTTTTCTTGAGGTGGATCACAGATTAATTAATTCAATAAACAAAAGCAGATCAACTAAACAGCCTAAATTCCCTAATCACTTCTCTTGACTGAGAATGTCATTATTAAAGGTGTAACTGCTTCTCAAAATAACAAATAACCTAAAAATGAACAATGGAAACCAATACGGTAACGCATGTGTTTCTCATGGTTTTTAGATTTATATTACATTTCTGTCTGAGCATTCAGTTCCTCTATTGTACAGTGTGTCAGACCTCCATGCAGGGTACTGCAGACTGAATGATTCATAGAAATAACTGAATGTGAAAAACTTTATTAAATAGTAGAAATTATTTTTATTTCCTTTTTACAACATTTACGTTTTTTTTTTTTTGGAATAATTGTAGCTTACTAATAACATTAGGGAATCCTAAATAATAAAAAAAAAATCTACCTTTTCCAAACTAGTGTCCATTTGTCTTTTTAATGCCATTAAATACAGTTCTGATGGTGCAGCAAATCCTGTCTTTGCTAAGATTGACAGCATTTTCTATTGCATAGAGGAACATACCATGAGCAGAATAATTAAGCCCAAACAGATCATCTGTGTAACCATAAAGGTATGGCTGAAACCCAGCAGTCTGCACAGGTAGATGATGTCATCCTCATAAAAGTGGTAATGGTCAGAAATAATTCAAAAATGGCAGTTTCTTCAAAACAAAATAGTCTACTGAATGCATTAGGGATAAACTTAAACCAGCAGCAGTCTACAAAAAACACATCGAACAGTAAAAATATCCACATATAAAATGAGAAATTTAATAATGATGAAAGCTACCATTACAATGTTAAATGATTAAAGTACATGACTGTATCCAACATGTAGATAAAGTAACATAATACCTGACAAAACTCACCACTGACTGAGTCGATATGATGGATTTAGTAAACCTGGTTAGCTGAACAGAATAAATCACCCTGGTAACTTATGCTACTGCTTTCATGTAACCAAGTTTAGTCTCAACTGGACCGGGATACCTGGAAAATCCTGACTTAATCCCTTATCTTGGTTGATAAAATGGGCCCCTGGTTCATGATCCGGTAACATACAGTACCACATACTAGGGTAACACAACCCAACATGTTAAATGTCCCTGAGCATACTAAATTTTATTTTTACACTCACAGCTGGTTTATCTCACAAGATTATCTATAGAGCCATCACAATAATTAAGGCTTCCTTAAGTCTGTCAGGAGTTGATCAAGTCCAGCATTGGCAAAATGATCTTGCCGTGAGAACCAAGCATTAAGAAAAATGTTAAAAGTTTATCAATTAGACTTAAAGACTTAGACTCAACTTTATTTATCCCTTGGGATTACTCCTTCAGGGGAATTATGGTTCCTGGGGCTTATATAGAGTATAAAGGGCAGAGTTAAAATCAAGATGCCATTAAAGATAAGAAAAAAAAATACAACAGACAATATAAAAATAGTGTATATAGTACAAAAGAGCATAAGAAAAGTTGTAATTTCCTGGAATATGTTTCCTTTAGATATAAAAATATCTACACAGTACAGAGCTGAGGAAAGACTACACAGTAGTTGACTTGGATTATTGCACATGTACTGCAGAGATGTACTGATGTACAATCTCTAAAACGAAATTCTGATATATTCTGGAGAAAAAACAACTTTAATCAATTAACTCATGGCCAACATAAGTGGATACAGAAATAAAGGTGCTTCATCAGTAGAGGAGTTCTGTATTTGGCATCATTTTAATGAGAAACAGATGCACTGTTGTTTTTTATTTTGAGAATCTGTATTGTCAACACAGAGCATGAGTTTAGGGAACCAATCCGTACCACAAAAATATTGCTAATTTTACATTCTTTTTATGAACTGTCTGGGGATTGCTTTTTTCTTCTTACAGCTGAAATCCTTTCAGCAGATTGGCCCCCAAAGCAACCACCTCTGGAATTTCCTTTAGAAGCTTAGAAAGCAATGATTTTGTAATCTGCGCTTTACCAGCATTTCTTCAACTATGTAGTAATCTTCTGAATTTGGAATAAACTTAAAGCATATCCAACAGTGTAGTAAATTCACATTTTCATTATTTTGGCACTGAGCAAACAGTTTGGTGTAAAAC